TGTCGATGCTCTGGTCGAACTGTGGAATGGGGAAATGACCAGGTCTATTGACATGATTGCTCCTAAGCATCCTCTCCCGCCTGGCAGAGCCCGTTCATCCCCCTGGTATACACCTGAATTATGGGCGATGAAGCGGGTAGGGAGACGTCTAGAGTGTAGGTGGAGGAAATCACGGGATGAATCTGACCGAACACACTTGAGAGCTCATTATCAAGCCTATGCTGTGGCATGAGGGCAGCGAAAAAGAAATTCTTCTCCGCTTCCATTGCCTCCTCACAATGCTGTCCAGCAGAACTCTTTCGGTTGGTACAGGGGCTGCTTCATTCAGGCCCCAAGAAAGATCCAGTACCGCCCTCGACGGCCTGCAGTGATGACTTTGCCAAGCATTTTAAGGAGAAAATCACTCAGATTCATCACGAGCTGGACTCCACTAGTGGCTCAGAGCCTTCAGGGGAGGGGCCATTGTTGCCGTCTGGTCCACAATTGATGGATGAATTTCAGTTATTGCAGCCTGATGATGTGGACAAGGTGCTTGGACAAGTACATCCCATCACCTGCTTATTGGACCCTTGCCCATCTTGGCTACTTAACATAGCCAAGCATGGGGTAGGGACCTGGATCCTGGAGGTTGTCAATGCCTCTCTGAGGGATGGCTGGGTATCTGCCCCTTTAAAGGAAGCAGTAGTCCGGCCGGTCCTAAAGAAGGCATCCCTGGATCCAGAGATGGCCACCAATTAGACCGGTGGCCAACATCCCGTTTCTGGGCAAGGTGTTAGAGTGGGTGGTGGCGGGACAACTCCAAGCACTCTTGGATGAAACTGATTATCTGGACCCATTTCAGTTCGGCTTCAGACCCGGTTATGGTACTGTATCTGCCTTTATCGCCCTGTACGATGACCTGTGGAGGGAGAGAGACAGAGGGAGTGCATCCCTGTTGGTTCTCCTGGACCTCTCGGCGGCTTTCGATACCATCGACCATGGTATCCTTCTGGATAGGCTAGCGGGATTGGGAGTAGGAGGCACTGCTTTGCAGTGGTTCTGCTCCTATCTCAGTGACTGATTCCAGAAGGTGATGCTGGGGGACTATGGCTCTGCACCATGGCAGCTATGCCATTGAGTTCCGCAGGGGTACATTTTGTCCCTCTTGCTATTTAACATCTACATGAAACCGCTGGGAGAAGTCATTAGGAGGTGTGGGCTGCAGAATCCTCAGTACGCTGATGATACCCAGCTCTACCTCTCGTTCCCTACCAATCCAGGTGAGGCAGTGGCTGTACTGAACCGGTGCCTGGCCGAGGTAATGGGCTGGATGAGGGCCAATAAACTGAAACTCAGTCCAGACAAGACGGAGGTCATGTTGGTAGGTGGTTTGGGCTTCGGAGTGGGGGACCTGGACCTTGTCCTGAATGGGGTAGCACTCCTGAAGGACAGGGTCCACAGCTTGGGAGTGCTCTTCGACCTGGAGCTGACTGGAAGTTCAAGTGTTGGCGGTGGCAAGGAGCGCTTTTCATCAGCTTTGGCTAATCCATCAGCTGCGTCCCTACCTGGAAGACGACTGCCTAGTGACAGTGATACATGCATTGGTTACTTCCTGATTAGACTTCTGTAATGCGCTCTACATGGGGCTGCCCTTGAAGTCGGTCTGGATACTTCAGATGGTGCAAAATACATTGTTTTAATGTATTTTGTATTTGATGTTGTAAGCCGCCCCGAGGCCTTGGCAAGGGGCGGCATAGAAATGTTTTAATAAATTTAATAAAATAAAAATAGAGCTGCCAGGCTGCTGACGGGGACTGGGCGTTGTTCTCATATAACCTCAGTCCTCCGTCAGCTTCACTGGCTCCTCATTGAAGTCCGGGCCCAATTCAAGGTGCTGGTTATCACCTATAAAGCCCTAAACAGCTTGGGACCTGGTTATCTAAAGGAGCACCTGCCTCCATATTTGCCCTCTCGCCCCTTGAGATCAGTGGCAGAGGCTCTCCTCCGGGAACCCTCCGTGAAAGATATTAGGAGGATGAGTACCTGAAGGAGGGCTTTCTCTGTGGTGGTGCCCCACTTATGGAATGCGCTCCCCAGAGAGGTCCGCCTGGTGCTGTCGTTACTTGTTTTTCGGTGCCAGGCCAAGACCTTTTTATTTAAACATTATTTTAATTAATTGCGAACTTATTTATTGGTTTTAATATATTGCCTGGATGTTTCCAGTTTTTTATGTATTGTATTGTTATTTATTTGTTGTAAGCTGCCCCTAGGCTTATGTGAATGGGGCGGCATACAAGAATCCCAAATAATAAATAAATAAATAAATAAATTATTACAAAACTTAGGCCTGTTTGATGACATCTGCTAATATAAGTATATCAGTATTGCATTTTGGCTGGTTTGATGCTGAGTGCAGAGCAACAGAGACCTGTCTGGAAAATTAAGGAAGTTCCATCAGAATTCTTCTAAGGTATCCTTAGAAATGCTTATTAAATGCAGGTCAGAGAAGCTTTCTTGATTATAAGAAGCTGCTTAGAATCAAGAAAGAAGAATATAAGACAATGCAGTGTCAGAACATAAGGAGGCTAAATTCTGCAAAATTGGTTTTTGAGGTCTAAATGAGGTAACTTCTACCCAAGATGCTGTAATTCCAAGTTCAACCTGAGTGAATTATTTTTCTAGTATCTTTGGTGCTTAACTATGGCAACCATGTGTCACAGGAGAAAATCAAGATCTTTCTAGTTTACCAAAGTGTCAACCAGTTACTTGCAGTGAGATAAAGTCACTCGTCACTTGTTTAAAAACAAAGAAAGCCCCTGGAACAGATATGCTTCTCCCTGAGTTTTATAAAGACTAATCAGAATGGTTTGATTTTAGCTAGTTTATTCTGCAAAATAAACGCCACCAGATTAATGCCTACTGGGTGAAAATTAAGTATTATCTTTCCAATTTATGACAAGAACATTCCACAAAATTACCAACCCATTAGTTTGCTAGCGAAGGTATATTCACAGTATCTTCTTCAAAAACTATTAGACTGGCTATGTACAAATCAAATTATACATGAAGAACAAGGTGGTTTTAGGAGTGGTTACAACGCCATATAACACTGTTTTAAATTAGGGAATATACTAAGGACATAAAGAATTATCTTTATGCAGCAATTACTGATCTTCTCCTTTTGACTCTATTAACAGAAACAGATTATGACAAAAGTTACAAAGGTCTAGACTCCTGATACTAATTAAGGAATTACTAAAACAGAAAGGAGGATTAGGTTGGGCTGCATGATTCCTTAACGGGGAATAAAACATGGATGTCTCTTAGCCCGCACTCTTTTTAATATTTAAGTTAATGATCTGGTGCCATATCTAGCACCAGTAGATTTTCCTTCTTTAATTATGAACAGAAAAATCTTTATTTTGTTCTATGCAGATGATTTAATATTAATTTCTTCTGTTTGGGCTTGAAAAATCTTCTGAAAATGAAGACTTGACCATAAATTACTCTTAGATAATGGTTTTTGGTAGTCATAAGTATAGATGGCATTTGGACCAACATGTTATTGGACAAACTATCTTGTTTAGATATTTGGGCATCCTATTTGTGGTTATATCAAGTTGAAGAAATTGTTTGTTACATGTTACTCTGTCCACTATATACTGACCCCAGAGAGAGTTTCTTGAAACCCTTGCTATTATATGGATACAGGACTGCCTTGGCAGAAACAGTTCTTTTTCTTTGGCTAGGACATAAACGTTTGAATTGAAAAAACATATTAAAAATTCAGCTGGTTTTTGTTATGCAATTTGTGCAAAGGAGTTAATATAATTTTCTGCTTTTAATGTTGTTTTGATTTCTGTTGATGTTTTAGTGCTCCTAATTTATTGTTTTGTAATAATAAACTCGAATGGATTGAACATGTGTTTGCATTTTTCTTTTATGTAATCCAAAAAACAGTATTATTAAAAATAATACTAAGAAAGCTGAACTGGTTTTGCCCATTCTTTTTTGGGGAATTAATACTTAAACTGTATGGAAAAGATACCTATATAGAACCGTTCAGAGCACTGCACGTACACTGCTTCCGTAATTCTTGCCAAAAACCTTGCAAGATGATTGTGATCCACATCTTGCAGATGCTGGGGTGGGAGATGGTGGTGGTGTATTTTCTAAGGTATACTAGTGAGTTCATGGTAGAGGAAAGGTTTGAGCCTGGAACATTTTTGGCTCCAAACTCTTTAAAGCCTAATTAGGAATGATTGTATTCAAAAGATCAGTGAAATTTAGTCTCAGGTTATTATGGCCGACCTGGAGTGGCCCATTCTGCCAGACTCGGGTCCAAGGGGAAAAGACCTCCCTTTTACAATCATTTGGCTGCCTCTGGTCAAAGCTATAGATGCTGTTGCTGAGATGCTGAGTTGCCAAGCAAGTAAGGGTGCTTAGGGCAGCAGCTGCTTTCATCTTGTACTCTGTCAGATTTTGATTCAGAAATTACTGCCATGATTTTGATTTTATATTTTGTGGTAAGCCATCTGAGGAATGCCATGTAGCTCAGGGCAGGGAATTGGGCTGCAGTGTCTATTCTGCTGTGGATTATTTAATAATGTCGTGAAGGACAAACAGTTGATGGTGGTACTTTCTTGACAAATTACCAGCATTCTTACTTTGTTTTCCATGATATGAGATCATATGTCAGCCAGTGTGCAAGCTACTCCACCCTGCCATTGTTAATAAGTTCATATTGTGTTGGCTAGTGTAGTGCTAACTCCTTTCTTGTTCAATAGCCTCACTTGACTTTCCTTTTTAAAGTACCTAATTTGGGTAGGACTGTTTGTTCAAGTTAACCAGATGCCATTGGAAACTTGTGTATGTGACCTCAAGAACAGTTATATGCTAACCTAATTCCACTTTTTGAAAATCTTTTTTTATGAAACTGCATTTTTATTTTATGTTATGTTAACAAGAAAGAGTCTTCTTTTAAAATAATGGTTCTTTCTTCCTGCTCTTTCTTTCAGCTTGCTGAAGACGTGCTCCCTTCATTCTAAACATGTCTCGGAAAAGTATGGACTATGGGGACCTTCCAGAATACGAAAAGAGCCAGATCAAAAGGACCCTGGAGTTGGGCACTGTCATGACAGTCTATAACCTCAAAAAGAGTAATCCAGAGAGGAGAACAATTCAGGTCATCATGGAAACAAGGCAGGTAGCGTGGAGTAAGACAGCTGACAGGATTGAAGGATTCCGTAAGTATCCGCTTGGATGTGTTACTGCAGATTATTGGCCACATCCTCAAGTATGGCTGCATTCTGCAGTGTGACAGTGGGAACAGAGAAAGTCTATACGCTTTTGTGATGGTCAGTAGTCCCTGAATGGGCTGTTCGCACTGTAGTGTGTGGCTGCATGCACACATATTGGTAAACCATGCTGTGTGGTTTCCACATGAGTGGTTTTTTTACCTGGGTGAAGCTGTTGGGTGATTCCATTGTTTCTGTGTGTACATAATTTCCTCCTTCCTGTCTCCTGAATAACAGTGCTTAACAATTAAAATACCAGGAAAATAAAAAGGGTTTGATCTGGTACTGGAATATAGAGAGAGTTGGTGGTTCCATAAAGAGCTGTTTCCATAAATGGGGCACCATAGCCAAGAAGGCCCTTCCCCTTGTAGTTACCTTCCTTACCTCTTTTAAAGGTGGCTCCTGGAGAAGGACCTCTGTAGGGTACAGCTGGGTGTGTGTTTGTGGGCACGTGCGCGTGTGTGTATACATACACACACCAGCTGTTGAGGGGCTTGGATGGATGGAGGTCTTGCACCCATCCTGCTTGAGCTGGTTTATTCATTCGTTTATTTATTTGGGATATTTCTAACCTGTCTAAACACTATGCGTCTCTGGATGGCTTATAAACACAATAAATAAAACAATATTAAAATAATACCCCAAACAATAATAAGACTAACAACCCACAGCTGAAGTAAAACATAATTAAAATCTTTTAAACATTAAAATAATGGGTAAATAAAAAGGTCTTGACCTAGCACAGAAAAGCATATAACGTCAGCACCAGGCGGACCTCTCTAGGGAGCATATTCCATAGCCGGGGCACCACTGCAGAGCAAACCTTCCTCCCTGTATTCTGTCTCCTAATCTCCTTCAAGGAGGGTTCCTGGGGCAGGGCCTCTGCTGCAGATCTTAAGGGGCAGGGGGGCACGTAGGGAAAGAGACGTTCCTTTAGGTTTCCTGTTCCCAAGCCGTTTAGGGCTTTATAGGTCATAACCAGCACCTTAAATTGATCGTGGACTTCAATAGGAAGCCAGAGAAGCTGATAGAGGACCGGAGTTATATGAGAGTAATGACTGGTCCCCGATAGCAACCTGGCAGCAACCGGTCCCCAACAGTGACCTGCTCTATTTTGCACCATTTGAAGTATCCAGACCACCTTCAAGGGCAACCTCACATAGAGCGCATTACAGTAGTGCACCCAGAAGGTTGCCAGAGCGTGTGTCACCATTGCTAGGCAGTTCTTGTCCAGGTAAGGACGCAGCTGATGGATCAGCCCAAGTTGAAGGAAAGCGCTCCTCGCCACTGCTGCCACCTGGGCCTCCAGGAACAGCTCTGGTTCGAGAAGTACTCCTAATCTGTGGACTCTGTCCTTTAGAGGGAGTGCATCCTTGTCCAGGACAGGGCCAGAATCACTTACCTGGAAACCTGGTTTGCCACCATGGGTACAGACTGCTGCACTAGATGAACCCTTGCTCTGATCTACCTTGGCTCTTCTTGTGTTCTTGATTGTGTTTAAAGCTGTGCTCTCTATTATAAATGCAACATTATTTATTTATTATTTATTTATTTAGGCGACTTCTATGCCGCCCCATTTGCCGAAGCCTTGGGGCGGCTCACAAACCATAAATAAATAAAATTCAATAAAACAATATAAATTAACAATATAAATTAACAATATAAATTAAGTCACCCTGGCCAAAGAATAAAATGAATAAATAATATTAACAATTAAAATAACATTTGAATAAAAAGGTCTTCGCCTGGCCCCGAAAAACAAATAACGACGGCGCCAGGCGGACCTCTCTGGGGAGCGCATTCCATAGATTGGGTGCCACCGCAGAGAAAGCCCTCCTCCAGGTACTCACCCTCCTAATTTCCTTCACGGAGGGTTCCCGGAGAAGGGCCTCTCCCACTGATCTCAAGGGGCAGGCGGGCGGGCGGGCATATATGGACGTAAGTGCTTCTTCAGGTAACCAGGACCCAAGCCATTAAGGGCTTTATAGGTCATCACCAACACCTTGAATTGGGCCCGGACTTCAATGGGAAGCCAGTGAAGCTGACGGAGGACTGGAGTCATGTGAACATAACGCCCAGTCCCCATCAGCAGCCTGGCAGCTCTATTTGGAACCAATTGAAGTATCCAGACCGTCTTCAAGTGCAGGCCCACGTAGAGCGCATTACAAAAGTCAAGTCAGGAAGTCACCAACGCGTGTGTCACTGTCACCAGGCAGTCGTTCTTGAAACATCATTTCAAGGAAGCTTTTTTATTGCTTTTCTTATAAAATCCACATATGAATCTGCTGTTATGCATAATGAAATCTCTCCCAGGTTTCATTCTGTAGTTTCTTGAGTTTTGTGCAGTTTTCCTCCTTCTAGAAGGCTGAAATATCTCACCTAATGTTTAGTTACTGACAGGAAAAGCTAGTGTTTTTAGCCTTGGCCTTTTTCCTTTGGACTTGTCCACTACTGGTATACCTTTGAAATGGAATATAGCTCTTAGGCAAAACACATTCCTCACCCCTGCTTAGCTGGCAGGTTGATCAAAGCTTTAGACTCCGAAGGTTCACACAGTTAACTTCCTTAAATTAAACCACTGGGATGTAAGCACTTTAACTGTGTGTAGGATTTTGGTCTTGGTTAATAATAGGTAGACTTCACTTGCTAAGAGCAAACATCAGTCAACCAGTGGGTATAATTTAAGGACATGCTTTGGTGTGTGTGTTTGATCTTGCTTTTACGGTATTAACTATGAAAGGTACTGCAGAAGGAAGTGTTAATCTTATATTTTCGCAGTTAGTGGTAGCTTATAATTCCATTAGAATCTCAACAAGCGAGATTCTGCTAAGTTAACTGCATTTGTATTTGATTAATTGGCTCAAAGCCAGATGCTTAATCAACTGTTAGTCGTTGTCCTTCTGATACAGGTAAGTCAGTATATTTTCTACAGGGATAACAGCATTTTTTATTGAGTAAAACAACAGACTGACTTGCCACATCGGCTTTCATGGTCCATAATTTACTACACTGGGTTCAGGAAGTAGTCACTTCAGGGTGCAGTCCTCTGCAAGTCTAGACAGAAAGAGGCCTAAAACTCCTAGCTTGCCTCAGCAATTTGTAGGCCCCTTTCCTGCCTTTACATTTGCGTAGGATTGTATTTTATGTGGGTAAATGATACATGCATGAAATAAAAAAAAAACCTGTAGAAACTGGTTTTCTCTTTCTAAAATGGAGGCCAGGAGGTCAAGCAATTTAAGATGCTATTAGGTGTGTCACATAAGTGTGCTGAAATAAATGCAAGAATGTTGCAATGTAGAATTTGTTTTGAGCGTAAAATTTGAATATGTTTGAAACTGTTAATCACAGAATGGAAACCAGTTGGTACATTTTTGTTAAATTATTAGTTTTCCTTTGGTGAACACTGACAGTTATTTGAGAAGTTGCTGCTAAGGCTTTTGATCATTGAAGCAGATCTAATTAAAATCAATAAACAAATCTCATGGCTGAGCCTGGTTAACAACGAGCACCTGAGTGGAAATCCCTTAGTTTCAGTCGATGCAGCAACAGGTTAAAATAACTCTTTTAAATGTGCTGATTTACTGATGAACATAATGCGTTTGCTTAATTCAGACTGGAATATGTGGCTGCATACTTTCTTAAAATAATACCTAAGTTGAAGTTAGGTGCATTGTGCCTATTACACTACAGACATCTTAAGCATATTACAAAGTCATGGGGAATGATTTCATTTGAAAAACTTGCTGCATGTATGGTGGAAACAGTGTGTTCCAAATAGCACATTCTGCAAAATAAAAAATACCAACATGATTATATAGTTGTCTGAATTTTGCAAATTTAGAATGTGTTAACAGGAAAAAAGTTGATAAGAACAGGGCACTCAGAATCTAGTTTATGAACAGAACCATGATTAATAGAGCTTTATAAGCACATAGAATATTTTCCACATAGAATAGTTAGAAGTTTGGAAGTTTCATGTGTACATTTATGGCTCCCTTTTTGATGATCATGATCAGTATCTGCACTGTTTGTTTGAGCTATATTGAGTGCTAAGAATTTTTGTCTAAACTGCACACCCAGTTCAGTGGGGCTTACTCCAGGAAACCAGTTTTTCGATTGCAGCCTGAATTCTGTGTTCAATTTAAAGTTTCTTTTAGGGGTGATTTCAAATGGCCAGCATTCTGAGAAATGTGCTAAATTTGTGGTATTCCAGCTTGTGGTTTTGTCTTCCTGCCACAAGTATAGGGTAGGATCCTGCAATTTTTCTGCAAGGCAAAGCAGCAATTAGTTCTGTTCAAACTTTAGCTTGTGCATATTTTGCCAAGGCAAAGCTTCTTACAGTTAATACACGGGCTTTTGGCTATGCCCTTTGAGATATGATGCAAATATGCTATCAATTATTGAGGACAAAGACTTGAGTTTTTCATTTTTGTTTTTTAAAAAAGCTCTTGGTAGTTGTTGGTTTTTCTTTTAGGCTTTTTGGACAATATCCTACCTTCATTTCAGAATGGCTAATTGTAAACTTTACTGCTTTGCTATGCCTCCACGTAGAGAGCTTAATATTCTTGCTGCTAAGATGGCTTGCCTGATGCAGTACATCCCCTTGCTCCCCTTACTTAAAACATTTTTACCCTGCTCTTCAGCTGAAAAGGGTTCCCAGTAGAGCTTACAACAGTTCATATTAAGACAGTCAGCAGAAAAAATAAGATTGATACAGGATTAGACCAAGTGTTCCTCTAGTCCAGCATTCTGTTCACTCATTGCCCAGTTGTCTCTTCCTGGGAAACTAACTCACAAGCGGGACACAGCACCCTCCCATATAGGTTTCCCAGCAAACTGTGTACATAGGCACCCTGCCCTCTGATACTGGATGTAACATTGAGCCAACAGGACTTGTAACCATTGATAGCCTTATCCTCCATGACTTTGCCCACTTCCCTTTTAAAGCT